AAGAACTTTATGATCTGAGTTCATGTTTCCTATAAGTGCAAGCCCCTATAATTAATTACCCTTTCCGATAACAAGAGAGAACTTTCAATTAAGGCTATTCATCGAATAGATACTTCGTATCTAGTGTATAGCAACAACATAATTTAGTATTTGAAAATTGAAACTTATGTCACCGCGCACTTAAAGCGGATGGGTGGGGGGGGAATGACAATAATTATCTCTCTCGGTGATAAAAAAAATTTATTTATTTAAGATTAATTGTTAGATAGACACTAAGTACTAAGAGTATATAAACAATGACTTTGATATTAAGATTTGAAATTTACCATCCTGTAATTAAAGAGAATGATGGGAGAAGTTATATGAAAATAATCGAAGTATCATGATTCTGTCACCCCAAGTTATCCTTGTTGGTAGGCATAGGTTGTTTCATTCAAGGATACTTTGTAGACTTGAGATGAATGTTTATATAATAAGATAAATTTGAGTCAACCCTAGCTGATAGAGGGTTTTATACCATATTAAGTGCAATCTATGATTCGTTATTCAAAGGTCTTCTAGCCATTATGGAACTTGTAGACTTTAGCTATGATGGTAATTTGTTGGTGCCCATTTTCGGCATAATTGTCTAGTCAAAAGGTATCTGTCTCGTCGAAGATTGTTTGAGAATAAATTGTAGTTAATTTTATTCTTAAACTTATCATCCTTGATAAATGTTCGTGGAATGTGGATGAATTTTGTTTTAAGTATGGAATAATAAAATTTATTTGAATAATTTAAATTTTTGTAAAATTTGAACTTTTTTAATCAAAATTTGGGCTTGAAGAAATTTATTTTGATATTTAAAGGCATTTTTTAAAATAAGATCACAACACAATATTCTCATATTTTACATTCGATTATTTAATACATTTGTCAGAGTATATGGGGTTTTGACTTTCTTTTTGAATGAAGTGCACGTTTTTCAATACACAGCAAAATTTGAGTTTATTTTTATTTCAGCCCATGCAGCATTCTAGGATCATAGATTAAAAATTTTGATATATTGTTTAGATTATATACTAGTATTTTAAATAGCATGTATATTTTTCGATGCATCTACATAATGCATTTGCACATTTTTCAATTTATTTACGCACTTATTTGTGCATCTATGTGATACATTTGTACATTTTTTTGTGTATTTTTTTAATGCATTCAGACACTCACTTTTCAATAAAAATAATCTATTAAGTTTTCTTATTTTTGAAATAATAACACTTTTAATTAGGAAAGTTGCATGCTTTTTTGGCCAACTACTTCTCAAAGTAATAACACACTTCTTGAGAAGATGACATGCTTATTGAGTTAGTAGTATGCTTCTTAAGACAGTGGCATACTTCTTGAGGACAACAAGCATCTCAAAATGATGCATTTTTTTCATATAGTAATACTCGGGCAATAGCACACTTCTTGATGTGATTTCACGCTCTTTGAGGAAATAGTGGATTTTCAAAAGTAGTGGCATACTTCTCGATATGATTGCATGTTCTTTGAGGCAGTAGCATGCTTCTTGAGGAGATTGCATGCTCTTTGAGGCAATAATGTGCCTCGAGATAATAACATGCTTATCAAGATGGTGCACTTAATATACTAGTCACATTTTAATGCAAGCGAGATTTAAAAATATGTAATTGGATTGCTTGCGCAGATGGATTGCTTGCGCAGATGTTCAACATTTAATTGCCACTAGTATGATTTCTCGTTCTTCGTGTGTCTTTATTTGTGTGTCTTTGCCTCATGTGTAAGCAAATTTCATGTTTCAATTCATGCGAGAACCCATGTTATATGGTGTTTTTTCCAAGTAATTTTGGCGTTCTGGATCTGTTTCGTGAATGGGGAATGTTTGGGTGTACTCATTCAGTGTCATGCCCGTTGACTTGAATCAAGTGTTAAGGACGTTTTTTTGATAATTTTGGTGCTTTGAGCGCATCTTTCAAGTCTATTTTGTGTGTTTAGGTGATATTTTGCAACATCGGGGAATTGTAAACATCTTTCCTATGAAGTTGCATTAGTTGGTCGTCGTTCTCATTGCAAGTGAAATAATTGATCGTGTAGTGTATATGGAGATCAGCAAGTAGAATAAATCACAAGTGCTAATCAAAGGCATGTGGTTAACTTGTATCACAAATGATCTTCGCTGTTGAATCCAATTTTATTTATGGATGGCAGTTGACCTTACTAACAAGTCGATTATGTGAGCGAGTATCTTGGAATTTGTATGAGAATGGAGAGAAGAAATAAATCTAGAGAGGAAGAAAGAATGCTCAAGAAAGTTATGAATCTCAAACTAGCATAGGATCGACCAAAATTAATCAAAAAGTCTCAAACTGCTCATCATCATCCCTTATTTATAAGGTTTTGAGGGCTATATGACAAGCCACATAAAAAAAGAGTAAAAAGTATAATGCCACATAGAATACAACTACACTAGATATAGGTCGTCTCTTGGTTGGTTGTAAGAGGTCAAAGTCTGGAGAACTTTGATATCTTTAGGCGAGCTTAGCAGTGCCAGGTGTGGACTGGAGAGTCTGATAGTGTCGAGCAGGCGAGCATGCTCGAGTGAGTCTGTGAGCGAGAGCTAAGATGAGGGGGCCTATGACCGGCAGACTTGTTGATGTTATCAGCAACTAGAGTGGGAGATCTCAGATCGTCTTGGAGAAAAAGGCGAGTGAGATGTTGTCGCGATAAGGGAGGGCTTTAGGTTGTCTGGTTGTGGCAAGGTGAGTTGAAGGCCCGACGAGTCGGCACTTTTCTATAGCTAAACATGGGAGGTTTGTATGAGGATGATGACTCTAGGATGATTGACTAGGGAGGTGATCCAAGTATGTGGCTCTCTCTATTTATTGATGTGTGATGTGATGATAATAAGGGAACCCAAAACATTGTGTCCTTAATCAAGAGAACACTTTGAATGTATATATATATATATATATATCCTTAATTTTTAACTTTTAATTTTGATAGCCTTTGATTGTTATCATGATGGATATGCATTTTGATTATTGATGTTGTGATCCTATGATTAGACTTTCAACCATGATATTTTCTGCTCAATGGACATACCGTAATGTAAAGGAATTTATTAAGTTACCATTTCTCTCATTGTTCTGTCAAGTAAGTACGATAATTAATGCTTACCCTCAAGTGCTTCAATATAAATATTTTAAAATTGACATGCAATTGTTGTTACACATCATTGTTCCTTAAGTTGGCCCTAACTTTGCATACTGGCATTGAAATTTAACTTAGTGATGGTTGAAATATCGGATTGGATTCCTTTTATCTAAACTTAAAACAATGTTGTGTCACAATATTTATTAAATATGATAACAAGACTATGTGGTTATGATCCTTATAGTTTTAAGGAGAGAAATGAATTTCTCTTGTAAAGGATAATATGGTTATGATTTATTAGTGTACTAGGAGAGAAATTAGTCTCTCTCCATCTTAGTTGCTCATTTGTGCATACCATTATGAGCTCTTACATTATCTCCTTGGTTTATACGATCTTTCTCCCTCTCTCTTTTTTTTTTTTAAACTTAATTTCTCGATTTGAGAATTACCATCTAGATCTCCCTTGTGTTTCTGATTAATTTCATTCTGTTTGGTGACAGCAAGACTTATTGCCCATACTGCACAAAGGTGAAGGACCTGTTTTCCAAGCTGGGGGCTAATCACAAAGTGATCGAGTTGGATAAAGAAAGTGAGTCAAGCCTTTTTGATTGCATGTTAATCTTTATCTCAGTTTAGTTTACTTGCTATTATATACTCGTAATTTTAATAGCATTATTACGTCTTCTATAATACTACAATGATTTATTTTCTTTAAATTGCTATTTGATAGTTTTTCATACTACATGATTTGTCACGCAATTTTGGCTCCAGCTAATTTGTTGGTTAGTATTCTTATTTTGATGTTTTGCAAAATTTAAGTTTTCTTAAAATGATAAATAATTTAAGTTAGATTTGGAACATCTCAAGTTGGTAATATTTATATGAAATAAGTTCAGTTTTGGAAGCTAACAATCTCCGCATTTCTATTTGAACTTTATTTGCAAGTCATTTTATAATAAGTTTGATTACTATTTCATATGAATATGGATCTTCCTCGCGGATCGGCCACTTATCCAGAATATATCCATTTGGTTTGGCTGTGGAAAGATGTCATTTTGATGACTCTCTTGCTTCAGACAAAAGAGAAGAGCTGGAGCTCTCTATCATAATCTGTTACGCCGGCCCAGGAGGGGCCGGCTGGACCGGTCCACTGTTACTCCAGGCGGAAAAACAGAGGGGGAGCGCAGGTTTGAGCGGAAACCAGAGTAAAGCCACGCGGCTTTGGGTGAGCTTAGGAGGGAAATTTTGAATGTTGGGGGCTGTTTTAGGAAGTTTATAATTGTCCTTTGTCTTTAATTAGGAGTCATGGTGAGAATTAGCTCTCATCTTGAATTTGAATTATTTTGAGATCTAGGGTTTGGTGTTCTTGGGCTCTTGGCTTTGCCGGAGATCATTGGAGAGTTTTTCCTTCCTCTCGAATTGAAGGAAAGTTGTATCTTGCAAGTGCTTTTAATCCTCTATTGAAATAAAAGTGTTTGCTTCGTTTTCCTACGAGTTTCTATTGCGTTTCTCTCAATTTTCTCCGGTTTTTTGCTGTTTTCTGCTGTGGACAGCAGTTTTGCTGTTGAAGTTTCACCGATTTGGGTTAGGATTACTTGCGAACTCAGGTATTTCCTATCATAATCATAAGGCTTGGCTACTCGAGGCTGTATTTCCCAAGCTCGAGAGTTCGCCTATGACCACCTAAAACTGTCACTTCAGAGAAGCGAGCACTGAAAGGATCTTTAGAGACATTAAAAGCTTTTTCTTTAGCTAAATCTGTTTCCACCGGACAGTCAATAAGTTATTGGTGCTCTAGCTTGTTACGATTGTAGTAGCCTGTATGTGAATATTTCTATTGGTGCTCTAGCTTGTTAGAATTCTTTTAGAGTTCCGATGCCTACTGGTACAATAGTTGGAAGGATAAGCACATAAGGTTCCTGGTATTCCTCTAGGAAAAAAGGAAGCATCTTCAAATTACAGGAACTTAAAATATTGGGCTAGTGGTAATATGAGTAAGAGGACTATAAAGGGAAAATAATGAGGGTAAGGAAAACATAGAAAAGACTATGGTTAAAGGAAGGAAAACAAAAGATGGAATATCAGTAAATTGGATTTGCTGTAGTAACACAGCACCTAACCCAAGTCATTCAGAGCTTAAATGTCAAAAATTGCTTGTTAGCTCTTTTTTATGCGTACGATCCATTAACTCATTGTGGCAAAGTTATATTTGATTTCTGACAAACAATTTGTTTGCTTGTTTTCCAACTTCTTATATTATTTATTTTTCATCCATCTGCGGCTCCTGTTGGTACAACTTTCTGTTGCAGTGTGAGGTAAATTTCTTGAAAAACTTTTGTGAGTTTTATCCAATCTATTCATCAGTTAATTTCATCCATGTAAGGCTCACGTATTGGGCTATATTTCTTCTATAAATGTAATACATCTTTTAACCCAGTTATATATGAAAATATTTAACTTCTTTCTCGCATATTTTTTATTAAGTTTTTACAAAACACAACACAATAGAAGACGTATTGCCAAACAATCCTAGTTCTACCAATTCATTTAGTTACTAATCTAAATGTTTCCATTTTAAGGTGATGGTTCCGAGATACAAGCTGCACTTGCTCAATGGACTGGGCAACGAACAGTGCCCAATGTGTTCATCTCCGGAAATCACATTGGTGGCTGTGACAGTATGATATTTGTTCTCTCTAATCATTAGCAATTCTGTTGCTACAGTGCATTTTCTCCCTCAAATTCTACGCTTTTTTTTTTTACTGCAGATGTCATGGAAAAGCACAATGGGGGTAAGCTTGTGCCCCTGCTGACTGAGTCTGGTGCTCTTGCTGCCTCTGCTTCAACCTGAAGAGCCTGGCGAATGATGAATAAACAGGCCTGGAACATATAAAACTGGCCGTAATGAACCTAGTTCGTCTTAATCTTACTGAATGGAACTAAGTGTACGTAATGCTATTAAATAACAAACAAAGTCCAATGCTGCTGAAATCATGAAACGATTGCGCAACTTCGGCAAGAACTTATAATCTGTTTTGATTACTATTATTTTTTTTGTTGGCAAATATTTTGAGCTCTTAATGCATATTGCAAATCCGGGCCAGCCATTCGCTCCATCCAAAATTCGGTAGGTGAATAGTGCGATCACATACGTCAATTTTTTGTGTTACGGGATTTGCCAAAGAAGCGCGCGAAAGATGAGAAAGATGGTTACCTTCGCAGTAAGATGAAGAAGCACATGAAAGAGGAAAAAGAAATGAAGTACGATTGGAAATGAATTATTGCATTTTGGAGTGAAAAATAGATTTTTTCCATTGGAGAGGCCTTTAGCGAGTGCAAGCAAACTCCCAGCATTAAGAGTAGTATGCCCATAAAATCTTTCACCAGATTTTCAAGCGAGGTATGAATTAACAAATTCATTTGATACTAATCCTATAACTTAGTACTAATATTGATTTAATCTTTCAACCATTATTGAAGCTTTTGACTTGCTTTAGAACTTTTGCTCGGTTATCAGGTAAGATTTGCAGGCACTAATAAGTGCAGAAAATCTTGTTCACTTTGAATGTCTGATATTTTGGTTAGATGAAAATTTTACCAGTTATAAGTTTGAACTTTTTTTTTTCCTTAAAGACAGTAGCTTAAACTTGGCCAATGTAAAATAATTGATTTGTTAAAAACTCCAACCCTAAACCAAATAATCATAAATTCAGTAGAACCAATCAGTAAATTTAACATAATGTAAGACTTTTTTCTCGTGCCTAATTTTTTTTTTAAAATCTGGTCAAACGAAGACTTTTTTCTTATCAAATTAACTCCAAATATTAATGAACTGTAGGTTAAGAGAATTTAAAGGGATTAAATTGGTGCTAAATTTATACAAATGGTTGGAATTGGACACTGGACAAGCTAAAAATTGCCCCCCTTCTTGCTAGATTTGGCTTGTCGCACTAAGCTTGTGGACTCTTGGATCACTTGAGTTTGAGCCCATACAATCTTGAATTAGGTGATAAAAGGTTGACTAATCCTTGAGTTAAATTGGCAAGCTTTTTTTATGTAGTAGAGATGCATAATAATTAAAAAAAAGTTGGACGGCGGAAGCCTCATTGCACTACAATTGATGATATCAATAGGTCCACTAAAACAATCACTAAGGCTCCTCTTAATTGGAATAAAAAATATTATAAATATGTTAACATATACTTGTAATTGTGTAATTCAATAAAAATATATATTTTTGGAAGATATTGTACAATAATAACAAGTCTTTTTTTAAGATATTGTAGCTCAAATAAAATTATTTTATTAGTTATTTATCTCAAATTTTTATAAATATTTGTGAGCAATAGTGTTCACAAATTTTTAATCTTTTATTAAGAATTCGTTTGAAATAAATTTTTATGTTTACTTTTTTTTTTAATTCTTTTTTATTAATTTTTATGTTAAAAAAACTACAATAAAAAATCTAACCCAAACCAGCAGTAAGTTGTCCACTACTGGTTTTGCCCTACTCGCTACAATTTGTTCATCCTAGCCACCGCGGATAAGCCGTACTTTTGCTTCGGATCGCCGGCGCCGGGCGAGAATGGAGGGCGTCTCGTACCAGCGTTTCCCTAAGGTCAAAATACGTGAGATGAAGGATGACTACATGAAGTTTGAACTCCGGGAGACTGATGCAAGCATGGCGAACGCCCTCCGGCGCGTAATGATAGCTGAGGTACCGACCATTGCGATCGATTTGGTGGAGATCGAGGCCAACTCATCTGTCCTAAACGACGAGTTCATTGCCCACCGCCTCGGGCTCATTCCCCTTGTGAGTGATGACGCCATGGGGATGCGCTTCTCTCGCGATTGTGATGCATGCGATGGTGATGGACAGTGCGAGTATTGCTCTGTTGAGTTCCATCTTAACGTCCGCTGCGACTCGGACCAGACGTTGGACGTAACGAGCAACGACCTACGCAGCACGGAGCCCAGGGTCATTCCCGTTGACGTTGCAACCCGTTCTCTCGCTTCTGAAAGTGGCGGCTTTGACTCCCCGGACCAGAGGTTAGATTTGACTATTATTTCCTTTTTTTATTGAAGAATGCCGTGCATCTTTAACCTCTAGATGCAAAAAGGGTTGGTTAGCTTGCATGACGCCGCCTAGTACTCGGTACTACTGATACAAACAGTTCTATTGTTGCATTGTGGAGAGATTGTTCAGTGATTTTAGCACGTGACTTTCAGATTACAATCTGAGAGAAACCTTATCATTGCTCAATCCCCCTCTAAATCACATAATATTGTCTGATCATTCCCAATTGATTTGTTATAATCCGAGGAGTATAGGTTCTCGTGGCAAATACGACTTTTGGATTTCTTTTTGCCGCCATGCTGACTTGCTTGAAGCGCTTAAGGCACCATGAGGTCTTTATTTTGAGCAACAGGAGAGGAATTATATTTCATGGAAAGTGTTTTGTAAAAGATGAAATTCCTTTCCTTTAATTTTCAGGTGTATTGGATTGCTTGATTTGATTTGCGGCATCTGGTCAGACTTTTCCCCTTAGCGTTCGTTTGAGTTGCGTCTTTTTTTTCCCAGATAACTGCCACATTTTTTTTACTGCAGCTTTTTTATTGCCTCCAATTGGTTTGTTCTGTTTGTGAAGCCAGCCTAGTTACCATTGGCAACCTTTTGGCTAATTGATAAAAACGAAATTCAAGAGTTTCTTGGAGCATTTCCAACCAACCTAATTGCATCCAATGATTTTCTGAACAATAAATTCTACTCATGTAAAGATTGGACAATGGAGAATCCTCTTGAATCACATCATATCTGTTTCCACATTCCAAATGGCTGATGTCCAAAATTGTAAGAAATGTTGGCTACCAACAAAATGTAAACGTCTTCTGTCTGCTTGCATGAGTGTTACAGATCCGGTGGCGTCGTTATTTGGATGTTATGAGGTATTTCCTCATCTTGACATTGACTCCCCTTTCTCAATCACCAGGGAGGGATTTCTTTTGGATTTTGAAATCCACTGTTTTGAGAAGAACTCCTTTTGAGATCATCAGTGTAGTAGACTTGTTATTTCTGATATTTGTGGATGCTAGAATTGTTTTCTTCTTAAGTATAGAACTAAGAAGAGACTTTGGAACACTAGGAAGTTTGGTTCTAATTTGTTTAAACTTCCTCACCGATTGTGCCAGGGAGTGTACTTTTTGTACATCGAGTCGCCCTTGTACCCGAAATACTTGAAGATCTTGACCACCAATGTCGTATGTGATATCAATACTTGTGCCCACAGTGGTTCGTTGTACTTGCGATATGCCCACCGTTGTTATCCACAAGCGTTCATTTGCATGGAATCGTTGTATCCACTACGACCTCCTAGAACTGTTTGTAGAAGAGTCATTGTTCTTGCATCTTACCCACCTTTCACCAATCTCAGGTGGGATTTGATGATTGCATTTGTTTATAGGGGACAGATTTTCTACCTTCAACTGATAGTGTTGCCATTTCAATCTGGAGGCAACCTTGTAGGGAGCATCATTTGTTGCGTGTTATACATCTCCACTTGTAAGAAGGTGATGTATTTGGTTGCCATTGAAGGGTTGTTGACTGCGGGAGTGAACACAATGACCCTTGTGATATCATTGAGAGCTTATATTGTTGTTTGTGAGTGAACCAACAATTCATTTCTATTTGGGATTTTGATGAATGTCCTTCCTTCATTCATTGACCTCCGCTTGCATAATCAAACTTAATGATTGATATTCAGATAATCATGCATTCATTAGATTTGATTATCTAATTATGGTTCAAATCCGGGTTCACATCCACTATGCTTGATCTGAATCAAGTCCCGGTGTTCAAATTCTTCTGAAGTCCAATTCAAGTTCTTGCTTGAGTCAAAATGTTTGAATCCTGTTTGATGTGCGAACCAAATCCGATTTGAGTTCAAAGTGCTATGTCTCTTGTTTCAATGAAAATTTCGGCAGCTTCCCGGCGTCTCCCTCGTTTAGGGGAAAAACCAAGAGGCAACCTTCCCCTCGACGCTACGTGAGCGCTTCAGGTAGGTGTCAAAAATGACACCGCGGTTGCATATTTTATTTAAAAATCCCCGCCCGCTACGTGAGCGTTTAAGGGTGTGGACTCCTCACAGCGAGCTCCTCGTGTTGTTTCCGATCGGACAAGGAGGGAATGCCGTCAAGTGAGCAAAATCGGGCAGAGGAGGCGACGAGAGGAGGTGGCTATTGGGATTTGCGAACGGGAGAGGGGGCTCGGGCTGGAGAGATGAGATCAAAGAGGAGGTCGGGCGGCTCTGATCGTGGAGGTCACGACTAGGTAAGAGAACCTCTCTCTCTCTCTCTCTCTCTCTCCTTCTTTCTCTCTCTCTCTCGGCTTATGCAAAAGATCGGCACATGCAAAGAGGTTCGGTCGGAGGAGGAGACGGGATTGGGGTCTCGGTTGATTAACGGGATTTGGTCGCAGAAGTGCGGGAAAGGTCAGAAGTTACCCTTACAGAGAGCAGCTCCCGTCGTCGATTCCATTCAAAATGTCGTAACTTCCGATCCTACAGGAAAACAGGGAAGGAAAACGGGAAGCCAGCGGGAGCGGAGGGAAGATCGGTGCAGAGATCGGGAGCAAGTGAGGGAGCCAGGAAAAGAGAGAGCGAGCTCGAAGGCTTCCTCTCTTTTGCTCTTTAATGACGCGAGAGTCATGCGTGCGGCGACGTCGACGTGCAAACGACGTGCGAACTAGCCGCGACGTGGCGGGCAACGTGCTCTGGCAGGGAGCAGGTGAGGTTTGAATTTTTTTTTTGTTTCTTTGCACAGGTCAACACTTCAACACTAGCGCACTGGTAGTGATTTAGCACAAAATGTGGTTCGAGATAATTAAGTTAAAAGTTCAATTACATGAATTAAGGCTAAAAGCCAATGGTGGAGATAAAAGAAATGACCCAATTTTAAGAGCAAAAAATGTAGAATATTTTAAATCTAATTTATATTTAATTATTTTTGCATTTTATTTTCCATATATGAACGTATATGGCTGGCCTTAACATTCAGGAACCATTAAAGATAAGTAGTTAGAACTCCTTCATTAATGGTTACAACACTTTTTCTCTCTCTTTTTTTCCATTTTTTCCCTAACAGTGTTAGCCCAAGATTCATATTGTGCTTATAAATATGATATAAAAGTCTTTGTAGTTTTTGTTATTGAATGAAATATTTTTGTGAAGAAATACTCCATTAATTTGCTTTGAGTTTCGTGGCTTTAAGTCTTGCCAATCTTTGATGAAATTTTGGTATTTATCTTTGCTCTCATAATCTTTAGTTGCTACTCAAGTGACTACTTACTCGAAATTTTTTTCACATCCTAAACATCCTCCAAGATCAACAACCTGTCATCCAAAGCCTCACTACCACTCCAATTACCTCCACATAGCTCTTGGCCAAACAAGGGAATACTCGGACCTAGTCGTATTCCCTACACCACCACACTCCCTTAAACGCCTCCAAACTTTGCCAATTATTCTAGATAACAAATTCATGCCCTAAGCTAAGATTTTATCATCTTTTCAGCTATTTATCTTACAATTTCTAAATTAATCTTTAAATTATATTAAATTAGCCCATTTTGAACTACTTTTGGCATTCATTCTACCTACCTATCTATATATGTCACTTTTCAACTACAAACTCCATATCATATCCTATATATCTAACTAAAGACTCGTAGTCATTTTTAGTCATTAATCTAACCAGAAGAGTATCAAACACCATTATATTTAATATCAATGCAAATATATGAGACAATCTAGTCATAGCCAAGGTTTAAAATTGCACAATTGGGTATTGAGGCATTTTTCATTCGTAAGGCTAGGCGTAAACCTCAAAATGTACAAATTGCGTAAAGTCAAAATAAAAGTTAAAAGTGATTGTTTATATAATATCTGAATAATATGTTAAAGGGTGACTTATTAATTTTTTATTGAACTATGAAGTAACAAATTTACATACATATAAAATAAAAAGTTGTATAAGATGCAAAGTGTTAAGTGATCAATTATCTGAATAGAATTGAAATTCAAATATTACAGGAATAAAACAACTTAAAATATATGAATTGTATAAAAGTATCATATAACATCAAGTTCAGTTTTAATTTTTTTCTTTCTCAGTTGCTACTCGTCTACGTTTAATTTTTAAAGAAAACTGAAATAATTGGCAACAACTCAAAAATCATCTGTACTATCATTACTAAGGGGATATTTGTTTGAGTCACTGTCATAACAAGTTGGTCTCTTCCCCATCTCATCCTGTAGGGTCCAATATCTCTAAATTTACTTCTTCATTTATTTCAACCATGTTCATCTTTCATAAATGTTTGTCATCAACATAAAGATAATACTCAAAAATTTTAAGAGGATATGGTACGTGCAGCTTTCTAGTGATCCCCTGCAGTAACTATGATGGTGGTAACTACGGTGAAAGCAATGGGCTAGAGGTCGAGGTAATTGAGAGGAAGTTGTTGCGGCTTGGGGGTGCAAGGCATGATTTTTTTTTAGGCTTTTGTATAAGAGTTTGGTAAGTTTTAAATTAAAAAAAAAAACATAAATAAAGTGAGGTGTATGCCTCATGCCAGGGAGGCGAGGCACGCCTCAAGGCAAGCCTCATAAAAGAAGTTCGAGATGTAAGCCTCGAGGCGTTTTTTTACTGGAATGGCTTGAGGCGGGTCTCATATTGCACAATTTTAAACAATGGTCATAGTAGATAGGTAAAATGAAATTTTCTTATAGTGGACTTACTCTGAGAGTCATTCCAGCAAGTTTGAAGGTAGTTAATCCATTTTATGATTGATTGATTTTATATTAATTGCTTGAATATTTATAATATTTTTTACAAATCGATAGTGCTAACTTAAAATCCAATTAATGAGCTCCACTATAAAGTCTGTCTAATATCTATGGAATAAATCTATCTTTAAAATTTGTAGAGTGGAAACTTTGATGTGGGTGTGTTCCACTTCAAGACAAATAAAACATTATCTTAATGTAAATAAA